CATTTGAGACTGTACTTCCCCTTAGTCTCCACTCCTCTGATACATTGCTTCATTGCTGATGGTGAAGAATTTCATTAGGTCGGTTTTGTTAATATTCTGAGAACTCTGAATTCCCGAATCCCATTACATTTCATTACAACATACTGGAAATTTAGTGCAGAACTGTATCTTCCTCTATAGCTCTGGAAATTGAAGTACTAACCTCATTTACTCCCTCGGCTATGTTGATGATATTCTGAATATTTTTGTTTTAAAATACTCTATTTACTGTATTTCTTGTTTCTGTTTATTGTGCTGTTTTGTTTCTACATAAACGCTTCTCAATCAACCCGGCACCCACAAAAAACACAAATTCTTATTTTTGCATTCTTAGTTACATGTTTTGTTTCTACTCCACAACTACAACTCACGTTCTTCCATTCAGAAATGCTTCTAAAACCCCTCTGTCCATCCATCCATTTTTTTGTCGCTTCTGACAGCTCAGGGGTCATGAGGGAGCCCGAGCCTATCTCATCAAGCAGGGTAGAACCTGGATGGGATGGCAGGGCAGGTACATGTTCCAGAGCCAATTGTTCTACAAGTCAACTACAACTCATATACCTACCAGTACGTTTTGGACTAGGGCTAGATCTTCTTTAGATCTTCTAAAACCCTTTAAAAGGCTAAATATCACACATATGAAGGATGAAACATCAATATAACAGGCTGCACAGATTGTACCAGTGAGGTTTATGATACAAAAAATGCTTCTTTAAACTTAATTGCATTTAGCATTGGAGGAGATTAAATTCAACTGGAGGTAATTATACAGGACAAATCATATAAAATGGACTCAATAGATTAACAAAATCCTTGGTAAAAGTTAATTCTGTAATGCCTGAGAGTTCTAAAAAGTTAATCTTGCAAAAATCCTCTTCTGGATTTTCCCTAGAGTTATGGTTATCCAAAGAAACATTAACCTGGTTTAAAGCAAGTTTATCCTCACTGTTTTGCCAGGTTGAACAGATGTCATGTCTCTTCATTAAGTTACTGAATTACGTGACATCTGGAATGTCTGTAATCATACAGTACGTGTTCTGCCTAGAGCCAGTTAACAATTCATTTTCAAAAGCATTTTTTCAACAAGTTCTTCTTTTCTTCAAATAAAGCATGGAAGCAGCATGATTGTCTGCATATTAATAAATCATAATATACCCTAAATATTTTTAAACATTACATTGTAAATAGCAACCATTTTCTATTATTTTTCTGCTTTGACTTTTTAAACAGCAATACAAAAATAAGGTTTACAGTTTTTCCCAAAGAAAGCTCTTGAACACTTGTATGAACCAGGGTAATATTTTCTGACCTCTCTCTAACACTTAGGCTTAATCACATCATCATACTCTTTTCACTACTGCATTTTGCATAAATGTATTTCCTTCTCTTGCTGTGTGAATCATGGGAAAAATGTGCAATTCATCCGAATTAGATGTTTAAGCAATCAATTGCTAACACTGGCAACTAAATTGCTCAGGGATGGCAAGGCAGTCTGTTGAGTCCAGCAATTCTGAGACTCTGATTCAACACTTCCCAGAACAGCAGTAATACAGTTCCAAATGGTAAGGTTTGTAGAAATGGTGCCCAGATTGCTTTATTCCAAGTAAGTCTCCCTAAGCAATGACTTGACAGTAAGCAAGCTCTTTTCTTCATAGTATTTTGCCCTTTTTCTTGCTGACAAACTTCAGAAATCTGTAGAGATTTTGGGAGGTTTTTTGGAATAGATCATTTTGAGGTAAGGTATACTGTCTCAATATCTGTAGTAATATAAACACTAAACATAATTGTTATGTCTATTGTAAAAAAACAACAACAAATGATTATACTGTAAATGCATCAGCAAGAACATAAGCATAGTTACAAGCAAGAGGAGCTCGTTCAGGCCAACTAGCCCTTTTGGTAGCTGGTAACTCATTGATCCAAAGATAAGAACTTAAGAAAAGTTACATGTCTGTATGATCTTCATTGTTTTTTTGTCTCCTGGGATGTAAACCAGTATTTCTCAGGCCCATTGTTCTCTCCGTGTATACATCTCATTGCCATTTTAGTCTCTACTGTATCACATGTTCCTGTTTGTGCTCTAACCCATTAATTTCTGTCTCTGTTATTCCCAGCATACAAGTTTCCACAGTTCTTGGTGCCATTTTCTCTATCATGTGGTGTTTAGGGTCCAGAATTTACACCTGTATGTCAATAGAGGCAGTACAGTTTGGCTGAAGACTTTTTCATTTAGTACAAGTAAAACTAAAGCATGTTAATGGCAATTTAAGTGATCTGTGTAGATTTCTTTAGACTCTTTGTCTTCTAAAGCAGTATCATAAAACCTTTCACTGTGGCTCTGAAGGACTAAAGGGATATTGCAACACTCCGATGACCCTGGGAGTTCCTTCTCAACCTCTTCTATTGCCAATTGTACCAATTTGTAAAATAGTTTGGAAACATGACTTCTATTCATACACTGCTGGGTTAAACGTAAAGGTAGGCTGCAATCTAGCCGTCGTAAGCTAAATCTCTGATTTCCATGCTTGTCGTATCCATTCTGTCTGGAGAGGAGGCGTAGCAATCACTGCATGTCTTAAACCCTGCAATCATTAAACTGTACATCTATCCATTTTCTAACCGCATTATCCAGTACAGGGTCATGGCCCTACAATATTATCACTGCCTGAGGGGTTTTCTCATAACCAGTTGTAGTGGAGTGTGTAAACATAAATCTATTTTATAAAATATAAAATATTTTTGTAACAGCTTATGAAAAGTAACATTTAATTAATTATAGTTTAAAGTTTTGCTATGCAAGTGATGATTATGAAACCACTGTTTCATAGGCTAATTACGAAGAATCGTCCGCCACACACTCTGTAGGGTGATGGGAAGTACCGGTTGCAAGGCAAGGCTTGGTGTCATTCCATTGCAGGTCACACACAAGGACAATCTGTGACACCAAAAATTAACCTGGCCATGTTCTCCTAGAGAGACGGGAGGAAACTGGAGCACCTGGAGGAAGCCCACCACGACATGTTGAGAATCTACAAACACCACACAGACGGCAGCCCAGGCCGAGATTGAACCCAAGGGCTGTAAAGCAGGAGCTCCAATGCCATGCCCCATTGCCAGTATTCACTGACAGGTTAATAGTCCATTGCATGTTAGAACAGCTAAGTAAAGCTCTTCTGTATTTTCTGTTTTTTCTCTGCGTGTTAAAAATCCAACAAAAAAGCAGAACCAGCCTGTGAGGCGGAGTGGTAGCACTGTGGCTAAGGATCTGCACCTCTGACTGGAGGGTTGCTGGTTTAAATCCTACAGCTGGCAGGGAATTCTACTCCCTTGTGCCCCTGAGCAAGGCCCTTAACCCCAACTGCTCCAGGGGTGCTGTATAAATGGCTGACCCTGTGCTCTGACCCCAAGCTTCTCTCTCCCTGTCTGTGAGTCTCAGGGAGAGCAAGCTGGGGTAGCCAAAAAGACACATTCCCAATACAAGAAATTGTTTAAGGCTAATAAAGTGATCTTATCTATCTCTTTGCACCTACACTCCAGAGCAAGAGAATTTGCTGCAAAATGCATCCAACTTGAGTTAAAAGAATTGTAATTAATGTAATTATAAGCATCTAGAACATTTCATTTCACAATGATGTTGCACAATGAACAGCGGTGCAAATGAGTTTTGCTACACGTATTTGCATGAACTACTGTATTTTGGAAATTGTTCTAAGAATTTCAGTGATTGCGAAAATGAATTGTGCCATCAAGTAAGCAAGAAACATCATTTGTACGTAAATATGAAGAACTGAGGTGGATTAAGTTTAGACAACTTCCTGTATTTTCTGTTTAAAACTACATTTAGCAACCAAGAAGCAATATAGGTTTTTCAAGTGGTTCAGAATATGAAATCTAAAAACAGCAGAGAAATCTGTTGATTAGGAAATTTTGTTGCAGACGTTCATATCTGAAGGATGGAAATATTTAATTGCCATTTCTCTTTCAGTGTCTTTATCATGGTCACAAATGTCAAGCACATCATAAGAGCTACAGTACATAGTCGCAATCCAAACTACCCTCCCCATTGTCCCTGTAAACCACCGCTTTACATCCAAGGGGTTAAATTTCAGAAACAAACCTGAATGTCGCAACCTGTCCTCCACTTCTGAAAACCACCAGGAACTTACTTGTGATGCCCACACATTTTTATTTCAGAAACAGTAGATCATGAAATAGATGTGGGATTAGGTTTAGACTACTTCTTGTATTTTCTGTTTAAAACTACATTTAGCAACCAAGAGGCAATATCCAACTGGCAATAGATCATGAAATAGATAGACTGTTTTTGAAAAGTTGTATGTCGTTGGCTGAGTGCTGAAGGGACTGGGTGGACACCGGGTGGGCAGAAGGGTACCCTTGGCAATCTGGACAGGGTCTGCCCCACTCTCACGCTCCTCTGTGGGCAATGGGGGCTGCAATGTAGAAAAAAACGATTTGGCCTCATAAGTACACACCTATTAGAGCATCCCATAGGTCCTGTATATTTTGTCTTCTTCTCTTCTGTAAAAAGGTAAGGGTTAGGAGTGAGCCAAGGTACTAATGTTTTGGTCATTTAAAATGGTAAATGTGTTGGAGGGGAAAATGAAAATTCTCAATTTTTTAAATGAAAATTAAAATGGATGGGAGAATCACATAAAGCTGCATGTATAATTATCAGATATCTGAAAAAATTATATACACACATATCAATGCATATAAAGAAAGAACAGAGAACATAAAAAGGGCCTTATTAAATAGCATCTAAACATATTACACGTGTGACAAAACTCCAAGGACCTCCAGACATCGTCGTCTTATTTTATGCAAGTCTGCCTTTTGGGATTGGTAATTCTGCAGAATATCCAGATTTCCTACGAATATATGGCAGAGGTCTCTTTCAGAAAAGCTATTCACTAAAAAAACAGAAGACAAAATGCAAAACATGATTTTGCCAGAAGAAATCTTTAATGTTCTACTGTCAAAGCAAAGCAGTCGCTTGAAGCAAAATCTGCTAGAACAGGCATAAAAACTGCCGTTTTCATTTTTTTTGTCTTGTCTTGAGTCCCTGCTGTACTGCAGCTAGAATTAAATTATCAAAACGATCAAATCCTGAGACTGAAAGATTTACTGAACTACTGCAATACAATCTGTACAGATTTCACCTATACTGCCTCCACAAAAAGCAAGGCTACCTTTAATTTATCCTGTTTTTTCCACCGATTAATCTTAAAAGGAAAACTAGAAACTCCACCAATGACATGACTAAAATATCAATTGCCATTTATTCCATACAAATATTTTTATGTAAACAATTCATTACATCTAAAAATAGTACATTTAAAGACTTTCAAGAAAACTCCAGATTTAGCAAACTGTACAATTAAAGTCTGTACAATTTTGAATGCCAATAAATGTGTTTAGACAAAAATCAGTACATCTGTAATAAAAAGTGCTACCTTGTATGTTAAAAAATAACCAATAAAAAACTTTAAGATTATTGCTCCACTTGTTCATCTTCAAGGTTGTTATTGGTTTTGCAGGAGATGCCACCCCTAAACTGAATATTTTGTCCCCTGTAACAGTACAACAGTGTAATTACACAGGTCACGGACGCATAGGAATTCTGTTATTGGCAGGGAGTTTCTTCGAGCTTACCAAACAAAGAACAGATCTATCCCTCTGCTGAAGTTAATACCACTATTCAGTTGTTCAGTGTCCATTAATCAGCATTAGTTAGGCTTAAAATGTTAGGTAATAAAGCAGCTCTAATTATGGACTGCCTTTGGATTTCTCTCTTTGTTTTACATGACGGTTTTCTGTTGGCTATCTGGTTGGTTTTGCTTTTTGTGCCTGGCTTGAATTTCCATAAAGGCATTTCTACACAGGGTAATTATCAGGTCCTTTTAGTTGTTCTCTTGTGATACAGCAGTTTCCTGCAAAAGACAAAACACCATACATTAAAACGGAACAAAGGGCAGAAGACACCCACAGTACCATAATCCAAATGTAACCTTACGTTTGCCACCAATCCCATGTTTATACCATGACGGACACTTTCTTAAAATTGATAGAAAAGTTTGGTCTGGAACCAAAAGCTCTCAAAATCAACTTAAATGACCTTTAGCTGTACGGAGAAAGCTGAGAGTTCAACGGGTCTGAACTCAGGCATGTAAGATGAAACGTCTCTGCCTGTTAGCACCAGTTGAGACTGGAGAGTGGCTGGCTTGTTCTTGTAGGCAGCTCTTGTGTAATTAAGTCCAAGTCAAGTTTAAAATGCTACAGTACATTTTTTCAGACAGTGGATGAAAAGCTTACTTCTTTAGCTGAATGATTGAATAACTATAAGTAAAGTTTGAATCATTCTATTAATGTTTATCTGTATAAAGTAAATATGAAATCCTGGTTCAAATCCTGAAATGTATAAATGTTGGGAAGCAAAGTAAGAAAAGTTAATAGCTAAGCAGAAAATGAATGGCAACAGTGAGTTTAACAGAGCAGGTAACATGCATGCAGTACTGAGTTGTGATCATCACTACAGTTTTGTAACATTTTCCTCAATGTCTCACTGGATGTTAGTTTTCTCTGACTAAGTTTAAAATTTCACTTTGACAAATTGAATTATACAGGCCAATATATTTGATTTCTGTGTGTTCAAGCACACTGAAAGGCAGAAATACAGCTTATTCATCTAAAGGAAAAGCATGTTTTCCCACTTACACAGCTGCCTGCAGTCAAAAACCACCTTTCTGAAATGTTCTCACTGCTTAGAGGATGGAATGTTACAAGAGATGTGGCCAACACATGAACCCGGCACAGGGAACACACAGCGACACACCTTACTCAAAGTCACGCAATAGTAATGTCTGCATAGTACAGCAATATTACACTGCCTTGTAAAGTATTTTTCCTTCTTCCAATGACTTCCTCTTTTAATTACAAAAGGATGCATATACTTTTTAAATAATTCTAATCAACACTTGAATGCTCAAACAGAACACTTGTGTGAAAGAATATAAATGTCAGCAAAAACTGTAATAAAAACAATTTGATTTATTGATTGCATCAGTATTCACCTCCCCAAGCAATACCTGATGAAAGCATCTTGTGCTGCATTTACATTTATGCCTTTTATGAGACATCTCGATCAGCTGTAAAATAGTACCCCTTGATTGTAAAACCTGCTCAAGGTCTGTCGAGTTGGATTGGGATCTTTAATGGACAGCAATTTACCAATCTTGCCACAGATTTACTTTCACATTTAAGTCAGGATTTTGACAAGGCCACTCGAGGACATTCATTTTCTTCTTAACATGCCCCACTGTAGTACTGGCCTTGTGTTATGGCTCATTGTCCTGTTGAAAGTTATAGGAAAGTTTGTCCCAGGTTTAGGTTTTTAACAGACTGAATATGCTTTCCTCTGCAATTTGCCTGTGCTGTATACGGCTCCATCCACTCCCCCCTCAATCTTGATAAGCTTTCCAGTCCCTGCTGTTGAGAAGCAGCTCCATAATGTAATGCTTGACAGTAGAGATGGTGCTGACTGGGTAAAACGCATTGCTGGGTTTGGGTCAGATGTAGAACTTTGCATTTAGGCAAAAATGTTCCATTTTCCATGTTCCTAATGTTCCAAAAATGTTTAATTTTTCTCTTGTCTGTGCACAATACCTTTGCCACACATTTACACTTATAACTTGGTTATAAGGGCTTGGTTGCAAATCTAGCTTTAAGTTTTTTTTCAGTTAGATACAGTCTAGATCTGTGAATTGACTAGGATATTGTTGACATATGAACACTTTCTCCCATCTCAGTAATTGAACTCTGAAGTTCTTCAAAGTTGTGGCCTCGGACATTTTCTTTACCCTTTTCTTGATCTGTGTCTTTTTACAACTCTGTCTTCAAATTGCTTTGAAGGCTCAAAGGTCTTCATGGTAGAAAATGAGTTTGAAACTCACGACCTGACTGATGGACTTTGCAGAGGCAGGTGTATGCACTCTTAAATCATGTGTTTTGTGGCTTACCAAAGTAATTCTGTGCATCTGAACTAATTTAGATTTATAGCACTGGTGGTGAATACCTACACAACATATTTTTTTTCCTGAGATTTAATTTGTGTTTTATCTACTAAAGTGTGCAATTTAAGTGTGTTTGAGTTTTCACTTTATGAAATGTGCAACCTTTGCAATTACCTCATTTCCAATCCAACAAAATGGGACATCATTGGAAACGGTAAATCCTTTTGCAAGACACTATATACGCGGGAAATATAGTTTTGAAAATATTAAGGGTGCAATCTATACAGCTTTAGAATGAAGTAAACTATGCTTTGAACATAATCCCACAGTACTATCTCCTTCTCTGACTCTTCTTGCAGTTGCCCATGAGTTCATATTAAAACAAGGCCCCTATTGTATCCCTGCAGACATTTTGCTATGCAGCCCTTTTCAGTAAATTCCAATTAAAGTGGATGGGACATTTCCAAAGGGATTTCACCTTTCTGCCCAACTTTAATTAAATTGTGAATGGGTCCAAAACATGTCTTTGTTTTTCTGATCGTAAAATACTGTCAGGATAGTTTTTGTGAAGGTTTAAGGATAAGGAATGGCATTAAATTTAATGGCACCTTTCAATTAAAAAAGCAAAACCTAAAACCTGTTGGAAATTCTACACTGGTTAAACTGAAAAGGCCTCAAACAAAAGCCACCACCAGTGATACATTTGGAATTTACTGTATGTTGGACACCGGAGTTTCAAGTTTGATTGTTCAACTACATGAAGTCTACACTGTAGCTCGAGTCTAGTGTGCTGGAACTGAAATATCTAAATCATATCTTCTCTGTGACACTGAGCAGAAGAGTGCGATGGCAGGAGACCCGCTGCTTAAACTCAGAGCATAGGATTTTGGATTAGAGAACTGAGCAGACATGATGGAGGGATTGCTCAATACGCCTGGCAGACTATCTGGATACATGCTCCCTGAAGAGAAGCATTGGAGTGACTAATTCTCATGGAAAAAATGTGATATAATGTTCTGAGTGTGCTCATTGCCTTCTACAAAAGCAGCTCTTTAACCTTACATGTTATTGTTTCATTTGGTGTGTGTGTACGTGCTCTGTGATTTAAGAGGCTCTAGGGGGGGTAACTGTTGTCAAGTGGGAATTCTTCCAGTTGAGCAGATCAGCAAATTAGGGCAATAAATACCCTGATTCTCCCTCAGAATGTTTGTGTGTGCCGAGGCTGTACATTGGCACTGCTCTTGTATCACCTTAGTTTTGGATTTTACTATATCTATAGAGTTTTTGTCTTTCCAATGAAAGTAACTTCAGTTGTATCTCCTTGGCTCAGGTTTGCTTCTTGATGGTCACAATAAAATAAAGATAAAATAGTGAATAGTTTATTTTAATGACTGTATGAGAGAAGGTCTTCTATAAACCTAGCAATAGAATATTAAATACATTTACATGTGAGGATCACTATGTGGTACAGAAGGAGATATTTTTAATCTTACTGTAGGGTAATTTCCAATATTTTTATGGACATATTCAGATCATTTTATGGATATTTTAGGGAAATATGCACCTCTTATTGAAAGGACCTAATGTGTCATTAGATGTGACTGTCCAGTCAGCAGTGAAGAAAGATTCGAGAAAAAAAAACAGTCATACTCTTTATTACAGTCTATCTTGTTACACATTTTTATTCTTGTTATTGCTTATTGCTTTTTTTAATTAGCTATGTGTATCTTTCTTCATAAATTAAGATTGCATCTGCACTAGATGGTCACACAGTCAGACCCTAATGACACACTGGGGACTTTCAAATAGAGAAAGCATGCTTCGCCTCAGAAACAACATTTAAAAATCATTAGAAATTACCCTCTAGAAAGAACATTTCTGGGGCAAGTGTGATTAAATTACTTAGGGACCCAGAGAATTACAGGGATTTAATATGACACTGACATGATTAAATATGATATGAATAGGTTTATATCAACACTTTAAACATGTACTCTAAGTATCCTTTCAATATTATCTGTTCCTTCAAAGCTCTGAAGGAACATTCACAAAAATATTTCTTTGTTGAATAAAAACAAGTGAATTTATCCAAATACCAACCCCTCCATAAGGCACCTCTTATAACTTAAGGATCTTATGTGAACAAGGTCCTAAGTCTCTCTAATATGCCTCAGTGATAGCTCAGTGACAATGCTTCATGTTCCCACCATATGAAGAACTGCTAAGGAGAATAGTGTTATTATCCAGTATATTAATCAAGACTTATTTTAATTGCACATACGTTTGTTGTCTTCTCTCCAAATTTGCTCCAGAAAGTCATCTTGACGGGGTTTTTGTGACCTGTTCTCTGATCAAATGTCTGGCAGTAGTCAAAAGGAGGGCTGTACAAGTGAAGGCTGACAGCACACTCTGTGTGACTGACGTTTTCCACCCTGTGCAGGCCAATGGAATCTGTGAGAGATCAACATATCAGTCAGGTATTGTGCTTTGTACTTCTCACTTGGGTAAATCATGAAGACAGGTGTAGACTTATACACATTTAAGTTGTACAAAATTGTAAGTATTCCAGAGTTTAATTGGTTTTACAGAATACGAAATACGGTAAATGATTTTTCATAATTGTTTGTAGTAATCTAGTAAAGAGCACCTCAGTTTGGTAATCTGGCCAATCTTGAAAGAGTTTTACAACATTCTCAATTTCTTTCATGCCCAAGCTTCCTGGTGCCTCACAATCAAGACAAAATGGTCCATCAGCCTGAATTTACAATGATTAGAATCAATCCCACAAAATCCGGGCTTTGGGTTAAACATCCGTCCACAGTGGGGGAGCTGGAGCCTATCCCAGCAAGCAACAGGCTCAAGGTGGACCTGGACGGAATGCTAGTCCATCACAGGGATCACAGACAAAGACACACTCACACTGAAACCAGGGCCAACTTTCCCTGAAGCCAATTGATCTACCAGTATGTTTGTGGACTGTGGGAGAAAACATGAGCACCTGGAGGAAACCCATGCAGGGAGAACATACAAACTCCACACAGGTAGCAGCCCGGGTCTGGAACTGAACCCAGGGCCCCAGTACTGTGAGGCAGCAATGTTAATCACTACACTAATGTGCTGCCTCTGAGTAAAACATCCCAACACAGTTCCTTGGACTTTGCTCAAAAGAGAAACATCCACACATCCATTTGTTAGCCACAGACACTATAATCTTAGATATCCTATAGAAAACTAGTGCCTAACCTGCCACATAGAGCACAAAGCAGGACTACACCCTGGAAGGCATGGCAGGCCATTTCGCACATACTGTTCAGACACAGCAATTAACCCCAAGCCTGAACAGAATTAATCCCACATTGAAGGTACCCTAGCCCTGAATTGATGAACCCAGGAGCCAAGTTCTATGAGGAAATAGTGCTGTCACTCCATTGTGCTGATTCAGCATGGGAAATAAACTTTAACTTGTTACATTTCAGGCATGTAAGAAAAATGTAGTTAAAACACTGACAATCTGTACTGTATTGGGTGAAAAGGGCAGACTGCCTCAAGGTTCCTCATTGCATCATAGATGGGCAGATAAAAATCAAAGGAACTGCCCTTAGTTACAGCAAGGAGCCATAGTTTAAAAGAAATCACCTTTGATCTGACTGAGCTCAGGAAAACAGTCTCTGAAATATTTGCATGATTACAGACTCTAAAGATAAAACTGCAACATATGCAATTAGTGCAATAACACCTTGGTTCAACAGATGTTATCAACACTAGGATTAGGATTTGTTTTATTCACGGATTGTTTAGCAACAGTAGACTGCATTTTTCAGCCCCCTGTCTGAGTACATGGCTGCTCAGCTATATTAATACAACCGAGGGGTAGGCTGGACTTCATGATGTCCGATTCTTCTGCACTGCATACCGTTCTCCAAACTTCCAAGCAAAACACACGAGAAGATAAGTACTTTTTACTGGAAAGAGACAGCCTTGAACTTTGTAAATTAGAACTGCTTTACTATATCAAAAATAACCCTTCATAACACTCAACAAAAGAAGAATTCCTGTCACAAATTAAAACAATGTACAATATTCATCTGGCATTTGTATCCAGTCCATACTGTATATGAGATGGAGAGCACATGGAAATACCTATCATTTTTATAGGTAGGAAAGTTGCAAATAATCAGAAAATGTAAAACGTGTGATAAATAATTGTTCCTAAAATCCCAAAAAGATGTGTTGGATTGCAGAGGCTCTCTATACTGGAAGACAGAAAAAAACAATTTAAACATTTAAACACTGTTTTTGGTCCAAAATGCATTGGAAGAAACAACAGAGGTATATAGTCCTCAATTCAGAAACAAATGTTTCTATCATTTTCTCAGATGTGGGTTTTACGGAAATGCAGAACAGAGGTGTGCTCTTTATTTTGTTTTTCAACACCAGTAGAATTTACATGGATAGTAACAAAATAAAACCATTAACAATGTGCACTTACCGTTAATATACGCACACTGGTTTTCTGGCAAGACTCTTTCAGATTTCTTTTTCATGGCTCCGTGTGCTTTTTTTTCAGGCCAGTCAAAAAGAGTTTCTTTCAACTGACCTTGAAGCAGTTTCATAAAACAATGGGAATCTGTATGATCATGGATACTGCTACAGATGGGGAAAAAGAAAATGAAACTCGGAATATGCCCCTCAGAGTAGTTGGTCACTCTTTTAGAAGATGCACTATTCAGCCACGTCTTTCAAACACATTTCACCGTGCTGCCTCAAACACACTGAAAGGTTCTAGCATTCCATTTTAAGAATTTAATTTCTGTTCCACAAAATCATCTCTCTAGCTAGGAAAATGATTAATGGAATTCAACAGGCCTTGAATCCTCAGGATGTGTTATGTAGATTTGAAGTGCACCCAAAACTGGAATCTAAAATATTGACAGTTTAAGTTAACATTTAGCAAGGGGGAAATTAAGCAAACATACGCAGTTGCATTCTATGTCCAGTATGAATGCAAAGCTTCTGATTAATCGCATTGGTTTCCTTTTGCTGTCAACCATTAAAATGATATTATTGTACATACTGTACAGTTCAAAGTGAGTGCATGAAAAATGGGTTCTGGATTTTGTCTTATGAACACCATCATAAAGTCCACTCAAACAATATGAGAAGTGATTATTTTTTTGTATTTCATTATTTAAAGTAGCAGAAAAGAATCTAAGAATTTGAAACACAGTGCATTAGTGGGAAATGGACTTTGCCTAAAGCACTTAACCTGAAATATCAGTGGGAAGATGACTGTCAAATACAAGTAGCGCAACAATGGAAATATTTACCAGATAACATATTCCTAATGCATTAACCATTACCTTCCCAGCATTTTCTGATCATAATTTAAGGCCTGCAGCACCAGTTTGTAGTGATACCCTTGTGATGGGCTGCATGGGCCCCATATCTCACCTGCCATGACCTTCCCCCCAACAAAGGATCATGAGGTTGAACTTCCCATTCCCCTCATCTACAAGGTTTCTTGTGTACCTGAAACAAACACAAAACATTTGATAAGATGTATATGTTTGTATGTCTGTGCAGACACTCAAAAACAATTAAAGTAAATACACAATGGTGGTACCCTGGGTTTGGAACAGTCAGGGATGGGCAATCTTTGGCTACTGTCATGCATTAATTCAAAACTCACGATTAAGTCTGCCCCGTCAAAGTCTTGGGTTCATTTATAAAACACAGACAAATTGCCAAGGACTGTATTAAAAGAGACTGAAAATACAGGTGGATATCCAATGTTAGAATTTTGGCTTCCTCTCAGTGTTGCAGTTCTCCAAAAACAGAAAACACCACCAGCCCCATGAACATAAACAAGCACTTCACTTCTGCAATGGTGGTGATGCGCTTTTTCATCATACCACAAGACGTGCACTACTAGAGAAGCTTTGTGGAAAGAAGCTCTTTAAGGCTCTTAAAGAAATGCAATTTTTTGACGTGGTAGTGCTTAAAGACCTACTAAAGCAATGTTTCTATTTTATTATTTTGAATGAAATGAATTAATTGGAGGTGCAGTAGTTAGCATTGGTGCCTTGCACCACTGGTGTCCTGGGTTCAATTCCTGGGGTCTTATCTGTGTGGAGTTCGTTAGTTCCTCCCGTATTCATGTGAATTTCCTCTGGGTGCTCTGGTTTCCCCCCATAGTCCAAAGACATACTGGTAGGTGAAGTGGGTTCTGGGAAAACTGGCCCTAGTGTGAGGGTGTGTGTTTGTGTCTGGGTGTGCCTTGCACTGGTGTCCTGTACAGGGTGTATCCTGTCTTGTGCCCTTTAGCTTGCTGGACAGGCTCCAGTTCACCCACAACCCTGAACTGGTTAGAAAATGAATTAATTTACAGCACTGTGATTGATTACCACATTTCATATTCTGTGGTACTGTATTTATTTTTCTGCAGTATACTGTATATTTCAGCACAGCAATTCTTTCATACCTAGAAATTAGGTAAATGCAAAACCCATGTGTATCCCAGATTTTTTATAAGAAAACTGAAATTACTCCATGCCATGGCTGGTAATGTGTATTCTGTATCATAAATAAAATCAAATAAGAAAACACAGTCAATTACCTTCCTTGAACTGCAACAGTTTCAGGCTCAGTGTTCAGTACAGTAAGGACATATTTAAGAACCAGTTTAAAACTAACACAGGAATATATCAGCAAGATAAATTACTGTGAGCTCTTGGCACTCTCTGTGACCATCAGAAATTCTAGATCACGAAGAGCATGTCTCAAGAGGATATGCTTTACATAGATCAGTACACATTTACAGTTCAGTTCTGACTGTGGACATTTCTCCTTTATGTGTCCATACTAAGTCTACTAATTTAAGCAAGGCTTTTTAAAGAAAACAGAAGAAACTGAAAATGACTGACAGGGAATATTATTAGGAATGCTTAATTTGTGTTAATCCCATAGAAAATATGGTCGGTTTTCGAATAGCTAATTAAGACAAATAAATGATCCAGCTAAATAAATAAGACCAATAAAGCCAGGCTCGTGTGGAATGCTCCAGGTTTTTTTATATATATAATGGAGTATTTTAAAAACATTCTGTTCCAGTTCAGTGTTAGTTATACTGTATGTGCACTCACTTGATCTGAAGTATTTCTCATACATTTGAGAACTTTCTATCTGTGAAGAAAATACAGCTAAAAGTTTGTGTTTTCTTTGGGTCCTTACCTTACAGATTCCCAAAGTTTTAAATTTTTCTGCTCTTTGGGTCACTTCAAATCAATTTTTATGTGCATCATTTTATGATGTAGATTACACATACAACAGATATTTATTACACTTCTGATCTTTCTCACTGTGATTTCTTGGGTGGTTTTATTTTAAAGGTATAAACCTATAACATTTTTTAAAGGCACGTGTACGAAAATTTGTTCAAGATCATAATAACTGTTCTGTTTAATGTCTTGTGAATGTATTAACAACATCACTAAAATTGCAGAACAGGGAAAGTCATTCCACCTACTGGCTGAAACTCTGGCTTGTTTTAACATTGGCAATTTATTCATCCAAGAATTTAATCCAGACGTTTCTTGAAGGATCCCCTAGAAATATAGTTTCTTCCAGGACTTGGGCGAAGCAGTGCCTCTGATCTCTCAGTCATAAATGCACTTTTACATTATTTCCAATTCAGATTTCAGTTTTCAACTAAACCGCACACTGACGGTGTCTTCATTCACAATTGTACTTGTGTTGCTACAGAAAATTAGATGGCCTAATGGATGAAAATATTCACTGAACGTGCGATTTATTTCTTTCTTCCCCTTGGATTAGTTTAAGTGAACAAACACCGATTCATGCTTAACGAGCATGAAATTTGAACAGTGAATGCGTTTGTTGCAAGTGTAAAGAGTTTTCCATGTTTTTATGTAAGATGTCTTAAAAACGACGGACATAAGTGAAAATATCCAACAGATAAGAAAATAGTTTCGACGGCGCCAATGAACAGATTTTTGCCTGCACCCCCAATTTGTAGTCTGAGGTTAAGAGGCAATTCCAAAGGGAGATCATTAAATTACATTTTAATAGAACTTCTATTACAATTGAGTATGTACCGTATTAAATGCTGACGAAGGTACGCTTCCTAAATTTACCGCAAAAAGACACTAGGAAGACAGGGATGCGTGCCCGGCGGAATCCTTCAAGATTTGTCTGGACTTCTGCCGCGTTGTCTGTCTTAGGCACATTAATCATCTTTAGAGAAAGTTCTCCGCGTTCCTCCAAGAGATCATATTTTCGGCAGCAACGAGGGTGTGAGTATTTATCTGCTCTCTGATTGGTGTGCTAGTCTTCCACCCTCCACAAGGAATTTTCATTCCGAACAGCTTCTCGCGCTCGCTGGAGCGGGGGAACCTTTTACACGTTTACCGCAAGCGGGTAATGCTGAAGTAAAAATCACACCTTGGCTAAAAGGAAATAAAAATAAATTAATTATGATATAATTAATTTAATATTTAACATTAAACCTGGCAAGACAAATTAGGCTACGGGCTCTTCTGTTAATATGTTTTAAATTACAATCAATTTATGTTGGCATATAGAGCAACTGTAAAAACTGTACGGGAAAGACGGATCTTAAAGCATTTTAACACTTACAAGTCAAAATTACGTACTTGTTAAATTACTAAAGAAAAGCGTAGCGCTATATGTTCACGTTTCAATGTAGAAATTTCTTAAACTCCAGAGTGATGCTTTATTTGATAAAAGTAGTAAAACGATTGCAGACAATAACGTAGTCGCAAGAGATGGGGAATGTATATATCCCCTGCAAATTTCAAATTAATGAAAAACAGAAATACAAAACCTAGAACATAAAATCAATGAAACACACCTCAAAGCAATCAGCCGTTGTTTTCAGGTTGTAGTTGATAATTATATGCAACGGAAATATACAGCACATTACATAGAACCACAAATGAAAGCTTCATATCTTTATCGTTGCTGTATGTTAGTAATCGTGTTTATTTAAAAAAAAACAATGTCAGATTTTTATAAACAAATTGGCCTGCTTGCATGTGTACATTTCGAGCAACATAAACATCACACCGAAATTGCCCGTTTAAAATTAGTCAATATAAAGCAGGATGCGAAATCTTCTTGACGCACTGTTCTTAGCCGGGCACTAACCAAGTCACTTTTATTCTCCCTTAAATATAGTTGACCATCATGCTGCAATAGTGAAGAATGTTCATATCAGCACTATAACCTGTTTACATGATTAAGGATTCAAGTCAAAAGAAATAACACAACAGCGACAGTAATATTAACTTTACCTAAACTGGTCGAATTTTGCGTATTTCTTCCATTCCTGGGGTTTGCTCTCATATGATTCCATTATACTTTGCACCTCTTCAATATTAATATTGTTGCCGGAAAAAATCTCGTGAAGAATCTTAATCAGATCGTCTAGCGTTTCTGGTTTCATCACTTCGGTTTGCTCCATTGTACGCTTTATTACAAGGTATCGATCACCTCAATTACCTTTACTATTGAAAGAAGAGAGCAGTCTGCCACTCTTTATTCCAACCCCGGCTGAAGTTTTATTGGATTGTACCATCTATAATGAAAGATGATCCTTTACTCACACATCGAACAGTAAAACGGCTAAACGGCCGTGGGTTTTAGAATATGAATGAAAGTATGCCAGTGCAAGTATGTTTTAGATTCTTAGAGCAGTAATTTAAGCTTTGATGCACAAATATTGCAGATTTTAAAGTGAAAGCTGTGAAAATCCCCCCGTATATTTGTAGAGATGTGGTTTCTTCTCCCACCAGTAGAAGCTCCTCAGCGTTCTAACAATGCCCCGTGCTTCTGCTTCCCCTAAATTGGCACTTTTGTGTAGCTACGGGAATGTTAGGGGCGTATCTGAGCCCCTCTTTACAGTGTTGACTCCCCTGTAGTTTGAAACGTGGCAGACGTAATGGTTGAAGAGCTACTCTGAACTCCTGCGAAGTAAAAGCGAATAATTATTTTGCATATTTGTTTTGTCTTCAGTTCAAAATCAAATACAAAGTGCGTCTTAATGTATTAACAATATTTTGTGGCATACTGTATTAGTTCGAAACGGTAATATTGGCTTGAAGGCAGATTTTCTTAGCTACGTTACCTCATCAATAAAAAAAAAGAAATACAGCATATATGTTGTGCAGTTCCTGTCCATTTTTAAAGTTCCTTATTGTAATTTACATGGATGACCAACGTTTTAAGATAGGGTAAAGAAAACCTATTGATATTACCTACCAATCAGCCAAAGGTATGTTTTGAGATATAGAAAATATGTTGTAAATTGCTTCAGTTTATCAGTTTAGGGAAACAAAACTGCATAGGTTTCCAATGAGAACATAGTGCACCTTACTCATTTAATTGTGATTAAGGTACCACTCCCCTAAACTTTACATTTTCTTGCATCCAAAAATATATTTGGGTATTTTTTATCCACTTATTTTCTCTTTGGTAATTAATAATAGTATTATTAGATTATTAATAGTAAATAAATGCATAAATGAAAACAAACTCTTAATATATACATACTGTACATATTTTCTTTAAAAAATGTAGAATTTTGCGCTCGTTTTAAATTATCTACTTTTTCCAATAATAAAATGCAAGGTTTCTTATATGTTCACAATGTAAAAATAAAAATGTGCTTATAGCACTGACAGGACACGGAAAACCAATAGCTGTTATTGCTGGTTTGTCCGAACCCAAGTGCAAGGGACAGGAGAGAGGTGGAACACCTGAAGAGAACAAGCTCTCTCTTGGGTCTCAAGCACTCTGGGAAGGAGGGAAAGTGAAAAGAAGGTGATAATAGAATAGCCGATGACTGGCTGGAGGGGCTTACTCAGTCCAGGCTGGTCAGTAATGGAAAAGAGAAAAAGTTAATTAATAAATAACTTGCCGGAGGAGCAAGGATTCCCTTAGCCGATCAGCACAGAAAAAAGAACTGGTGAGGCACGTTTTGACCTAGGAGAAACCGTTTCACAGTATCCCTGGTGAAAAGAGAGCGCATGCCCAGCCCTATACAAACTGCTCAACACAGCCCATTGGTCGGAATCAGGGAGCTTCAGCTTCAGGATGGAGCCGAGTGGTGAGCTGCCTGACAAAAGGGAACCGCATGGGTCCTGGAGAGCTGCCCTCATGATTAGAGAGGGGTGCAGGTTAGCAAGCTCGAAAGCCAACATGCTAAACAAAGGAAGAGCCACCAGAGATCACAGCTGTGCTACTCCCCGGAATCTCCACTGAGAAGAGGGGTCTCACTGAACGGTGGTGAGGGAGGATGCCCCAACTTGATGATCCAGTCGGAGGGCCCGGGGAGCCGGTGATTCAGGGCACATGATGTAATGGGGCGTCTTCTCCAAGAACAGCCCAGGTGTGAGCTGTCAGCGCGGACTCCCAGGATTCTCACTCCGACAGAAGCGCCCAGGTGAGAACAGAATTGGATACCCAGATACCCTTTGGATCAACATCTCCAAGGCAAGGGTGACAAAGAAGCCCATCCTTAGTCCCCTCTCAATTCCAGGATCAGCACAGCTGCAGGGAGCGGTCCCAGCCAGAGCCCGGGAACAAAAGAATCCTCAGGGAATTCATACTAACGGAGTGATGCTCACCAGGCATCAGAATGGGATGAAGACGCCTGGTTCCCCAGGAAGAAAACTGAGAGGGCCCCAGCTGTGCCGCTGGAAGGTGGCAAGAAAAAAAAAGAGCAAGAACAAAACAGTGAAAGGCAAAGGTGTCCCAGACAGCCCACGAAATAGAGGGTGAGTGACAAAAAAGAGCCTTAAAGGTCTGAAGAAAAAAGTTGCCTCCAAGAGAAGTCAGGAAGGAATGAGGGCAATCGCAAGTGCAGGAGTCTACAGAACAGAAACGGGACTGCTAGGCAGAGGGAAGGATGAATGCAAGGAGAGAGCCCTGGAAGATGAAAGCTGCCTCCTTGAGTCAGTCGGAACAGCAGGAGGAGAGGAGGCCAGTGGAAAACCGTCCAGGGTTCCAGGGCGGAGGCCGGGAGCCGCCATGCAGACTGGAGTGCAGAGCAGAGTGAAGACTTGAACTGAAGTTGCAGCGCAGAGTAGAGTGAAGGCTTGAAGCTGGAGCTGCAGCACAGGCAGAGAAATCGATTGGACTTTAAAAGTGCGGGCTGATTCAGCGAAGAAGGGCGAGGGTAGTTTATTAAGAGCCCGGAAGAACAGAACTCTGGATCCTCAGCCCACTGCTGGGATTGGCTAGCCTTGGCTCTTGGGGTGTCACTAATTCAGTCACGGAGAGCAGATTCCCACTGCCGAGCACCCAGGAACAGACTTGCGCACGGGTCTGGCATCCCAGGGCAACATAACTACCTGGGGAGGCCGCTGAAGCATCAGTCTGCTGGAGCAACAGCCCACAAGACAATAAAAATGAAGAGTGTGGAAGGAGTACTGCAACCAGGAAGAAAAAGTGGGTGAAGGGAATAATGACGAAGCACTGTCGAAGTGCTGCCTCGGCATTAAATAACAGAAAAGCAATTGAATAATAGATTTGATCATTACTAATTAAGACAGATCGTCAGAAGGAGATCCAGTCAGAGCAGCAAGCCCTGGAAAAGCATGACCCCTCGTGAGAATGTAACAATTTCCCAGGGATACCGTTAATGGAGGGCCGCCACAGGACAGCGACCAAAACATCAGCACGGTCTTTTAAATGATGAAACATAGACTGGAAAGCCAAGGATTTGTTGTCGAGCTCTTGAAGACATTCTTCTCGCTCTTTAGAAGTGTGATTTGTTTTAACCAATATGTGGTTAAACTTCATTTTAATTGTTGAAGCTAATTTTTAATAATTTCTACCTCCTGCTTAGTAGTAATGGCTTTTGAGTCTCAACCAACTGGGTGCTGCACTTCAGGGTCGGATAAACTTTCCCCCAAAGTACATTAAATAGAATTAAAATACAGGCATCCTTTTTCAGTAACCACCTCATTCTTCGAGGGGCAGTAAGGTGGAACCCAATGCAGAAAACACAGTATGCAAGGAGGGCTTGTCCGCTGAAGGGCACTCAAGCACACACAAGCACAGACAGGGAACGAGATGCTAATCAACCTGAACAGCATTTCTTTGAACTAGAAACTGGAGTACCTAGAGAACAAAGAGAGACCAAGCAATTTCCAGGTTTAGATTCGAACACAGTACCCAGGAACTGTAAGGCAGCAGGACTAATCAGCAAATAACCCTTACACCCAATTCAAATACGATAGAGACAATCTTAAAATAAATATAAAAAGCAGATAACTGAGGTTAATCTGAACTTGCTGTTAGCATCCTTTCCTAGGGGTTCAAAGACGTGTGCAGTATTCGAAATACACATCAGAACCTAAAAGTATCCTTAGACTGGTTTCATACATTCCTCCAGCATTCAATATCAATCCAACCGCTTCTTCCAATTCTGGGTGGCAGAGGAGCCAGAGCCTATCCTGGCAAACAACGGGGACAAGGCAGGGTACATCCTGGATGGGATGCCAGTCCATCACAGAGCAGAACAAACACACAGTCATACCAGGGCTAGTTTTCCAAAAAATGCCAGTCACCTACCGGTGTGTTTTTGGACTGTAGGAAATCCACATGAACACAGGGCACTTACTCTCCACTTCACTTTCCCTCTACTGCTTTCATATATTGTCTCTGCCTCTCTCTTCCATACAACTGAAGAAGTGAGGAGCCACATTGTGTTTTTTCTTCCATTTTGTTTGTTTCGTTTCTATAAAATTCACTAACAACCTCAAGTTTGCATATACATCTAAATGGAGAGGCCAAAAGGCTGACTACTTCTGAAATCTTAGCATTTTAAGCAATGTCAGTCCACCAAAAGAACTTTTCAAGATCTAAGCTTTACTTGCACTGTATGTAAGAAGAATATAAAATTAGGCACCGTCTGATGCTCTGCAATCTGTAATTTAACTCCTTTGAAATCTATCTGCAAATTTCTCAGGAACAGATTGACCATATCAATCCCTAATACTCATTACCCTTAACACAGGATTAGGTTTTAAATTGTGCCCTAATAAATTTTGAAAGGACAGTATCTGTGAAGCAGTCCACATTGATAAGTCCTTGTACATGGAGAAGAAATGACTTCACTCAACACGTTGTTATCCTTCTGAGTCTAAGTGCTGTTTCTTCCTACACTCTAAATCCTGAGGGACCACTAGAAAACTCCCTGCCACTCACAAGGTTCTAAGGTGTGATGTTTATCTAATATGATTGCATTTCATACTGTAGTCTTTTATAGTAAAAAATAATTATGAAGCATATAATATGGAAGTATAAAATATGGAAGAAAGCATGGCTAGGGTGCTATCTTCAAGAAGACTAAAAAATATGGGAGACCCCCAGTAAATGGGGAAGAGTTTAAAGTTCTGCACACCAGGTCCCAGAATTAGGCTATGACTCAGAGCAGCACACAGCACTTGACAGAAATGATAAAACAGTTTATAACAATCTGTGGCTCAGAGAGCAGCACTGTTATTTTACAGTTCCAGGGCCCTGGATCCAATTT